ATGTCTCAGGTATATACTATGGAGATTCTTTTTTCAAATCGAAATTAATTATCCACGGGTCAGTATATCTATATCCATCCAAAAATTGAATGGGTCATGGTTAATGTAATTCTATTGGAAAATGGACACAATTAAGACATGGGATAGATCGAAGATTTTAGAATCCATAACTCTACATAATAAAATTAATGAGAATATCAATGGAATCAAGGATGATATAGTATTACTTAAAGAGGTCATCCAAAAAATAATCAATATATACCAGGTACATATTAGATCTGTCGATTTGAAATTTACCAATACATAGAATATAATGAAAAAAATTTATAGCTTTGAGTTGTGGAGACTCAGGCTATATTAATGTATCAAGTTACTAGATAATATGGTTTATTTTTTAGTATAATGATCGAAATTAAGTGATGGAGGAATCAAGAGTTCTTCTTCCCAATGCATATACCCATCACGTATCAATTGATTATATACTGGTCCATTGATTGCAATCATACGATTTGTTTTGGGGTTATATATTTTTGGCTTTCTTGAACGCTTAGCCAATTTGGATAATTCCTTAGTGATAACTGTTTCTTTATTATACTCCGGCTCTTTGATATATATGATAGATGTGGTATATAGTGTCAATATATGTTTGATTATATTATTACAAAATAGTTTGGAAAAATTTAAATTGATTTTTATATACTATACATGAAAGTGTGAGTAAAAAAATATGTTAGTATTTATATAGGGTTTTATGAAATGAGAGATTATAAGTAATACTTCAAATATAGTGAAGCTAGTGTCTCTGATATATAATATATCATTGTAATCTGAAAAGATTTAAATTGATTTTATATTAATTATATTCACATAAAAAGTGAAACAGGTTTTATATGTTATATATTAAAACACTTTAATGAGAAATTCAACATATCAATATGTTAAAAGAGATAGTTCAGGATGTTCAACCTGTTCATATGTTAAAAGAGATGGTTCGATTTGTGAAAAAGATTGTTGGCGAGACATAGGATGTTCGTTACACTGGAAATTATATGATAGGAATATGGCAAAAATTCCTTGTGGAGTCTGTGGAAAACGAACAAGTGCTGATATAGGATATTGTTCTAAATACGCAAAGAAGGTTTATTTTCAAAATTGGTATGAGAGACAAAAAGCATAGAGAATTGAAGCAGATGTATAATATATACTCACTTTTACTGAAGTAATCACTATGGATATCAGTATTAAGCATCACAAAAATGGTCTTCATAATAGGATAATTTTTACAAGTATATTTTTTAAGCGTCACAAAAACTTTCTTTGTAGATTTACCACAGACCCTAAATGCTCATTTTAAATGATATTAAACATATCCTGACGATCTTGTAAGTCAGAATTGGAGGGGAGTTCTAATTCATCGGGTGAGAGTTTACTATATTCATATCGTATATCTTCATCATTTTCATAAAAGGGTCCTTCTCCCGTTTGATATAGTGGTAACTTTGGGACATATGTACTATCGAATGGATCAACTAAATGATAATATCTAAGATTTTTATCTATAGCCTTAAATTTTATTCCATAAGTTGTAGAAAGTGCTGAATTCAACAATCCTAATTTTGATTTTATTGTTTTTAATCCTGATTTTTAGCACTGCGAGATGTATCTGTATTATCAAAAACCCGAGCCATTTTAGGTACTAAATCCTGGAGATACTTCATAGATACAGACGATTCTAAGCACGATTTAACAATATCAGCTTTATATCTATTTCGATCATCGATATCTTTAACGGGTGTACAAGTCTTTAATAATTCAAGACAGATTCGATGCTTTTCAGCTCGAGTAACAGTTGTGAGTCTATCTTCTCTATAATCTTCACGTGTAATGGTCTTAACTGCAGTCTCGTTATTAGTTCCAGCATCTCGTAGTTTCCGGAGATTTCTAAACCATTTCATTTCATCATATTTACCATAATCTGTGATGAATTTTTCAGTTAAAGATTCAGATGATAATCCATAACATTCTGCTATATGGTATCACTTTAAAGTCCACATTTCCTCTAAAGATTTTTTTGGTTTATTTTCTAGAATCTCAGCTGTTTCGTAATTAATAATATTAGCATTTGCAATATTTGAAATTTCCTCTGCTTTAATAATTGAAGAATACCCTTTTACTGTTTCAGTTAATGATATGATATCATCTTTAGACTTGGGAGTGGCTTTTATTATAGAAACTATCATACCTGCCTTTTTAAGAAAATCAACCATTCTCCATCCAAATAAATGACGAGATCAGAATTTCTCCAATGTATGGGCAACCTATAATCAGACTGTTGGAATGTCTTTATTTCGAATAATAGAGTCTACATCTGGAAATATTCCTCTATTCTGGAGTTCCCTTGGGAGACATTCTTGCTTTGCTTTTAATAACCAGTGGAATAATCCTTCTTTTGTAATTGGGAGATTTGATGCTTTTTATTCGATATGACATGTATATCCTTTAATACATCTCATACGGAATAGCATCTGGTTCGTCCCAGCATTTGTTTCTATATCACTTTTGAAAAGACAAAATCCCCACTCAAACTTGGGGTTAGTACATGAGACTTCTATTTTTAACGTACTGGTATATGCTACTATATCTACATCTTTCCATGCTTCCTCAACATTACTAAAGTCCCACATTTTCTCAACTGAATCAGAATCGTCATGATACTCCTTGATACATAATTCTGGAAAATCAGTTTTAAGAGCACGAACAATTCCTTGTATATCCTTTCTAAGATGACATATAACTGATGCACTTTTTCGCTCCTCGGGTTTCAATACAGACATTTTTCTAGCTCAATCCCAGAGTTCTGACAATAAGATCTCTTTATTAGGGGCTAAGTAGAATAATTTATCTTTCTGGGGCTGATAAGTATTATGGATAACTGTAAATTGCTTACCCTTTCGAAGTGATTTAATCCATTCTATATTGAGATCAGTAAGGTCGTTGTCCATAACAATAATACACCTTGCATCGTGAATTAACATATATAAGTGTTCTCTTGATCACCCTGCTAAGCGAGTGTGGGCTTGGCTATTCACGGATACTACCTCATCGAGCCATAAATCATATGATATTGGAAGACATTTACATTTTTTCTCGCATTTACATTTATTAATAATGCGATGTAAACTTTCTATCTGACATACGATTCTTTGATGATCCAGGAGGTTTATATCTTTGGTTTCAATATCACAGTAAGATTTGAGATTGAGTCTTACAGTAACTGCACTAGAATAAGTATGTCGTGTAGATAAAGCAAGTAAATTTATACCATCAGGAATAGTAAGGTGCTCTAAAGTATAAGTTTTTCCTGTTTCCCAAGATGATCCTATATGTACATCACACTCTTCGGGTGGGGGTTTTACATATTGCTCCTCATATACTTCTCTTGTGGTAAGGGGGGAGTCACATTTAACCCAAGCTGGCATTTCTAAAAAAGGTTTTGGGAACTTAGAGCCCTTTATTTTATGAGAAACAGGTGGGTTATTATTTTTATTTTTTTGTTGGATTTTTTCTGCAATAAATGGGTCATTGAAAATTTTTCCCGATTCATCTCTATTTTGCTAGAAGCATTTCACAATGAATGAGCCACTTTTCAACGCATGTCCATGCCATCTCTGGTCCTTGTCATGTGTGCGTTCACATAGTGGACATTCTAGATATGCTATTCGATTAAAATATACAACCCATTCTGAATTTCTTTCTTCGATATCCCAACCTCCAAGATAATCAGGATATGTATGCAAAACTAGATTCGCATATTTTTTTAACGCATCATGACCCACGATTATTTTTTTCTGATTATTTATTTTTTCTATACTAAGTATACAGGGACTTACTTCATATTTCGAACTAGTAGGTGGTTGAACTCTGGTGTCATTGAAATCATTCCATCCATTATCTAGTGAGAATTGAAGTATGCGCTTCACGCGGTCTTTTTTTGCAGAACCAATAAGACAGAGGTTGAAATTCCGACTAGGTAATCCTCTATCAATAAACTTACCATACTTTTCTTCCGTTAACTTATGTACCAATTCCATAAATTTCTTAAGCTCCTGATAGTCGATAAGAAGAGTTGGGGCGTATATGATGTGATAACTGCATTTGCTGGAGTCAGATGATGTTGCAATTACTAATCCCTTAAAAATTTCTTCCCAACTACAATTCAGAATTTGGTATAATGCTCTTATAAATGAACAACAGATATGAAGAAAAACATCTCTTGCCTTAACTTTTTCAGCTTCCATAACTTCCCGTGATGCATCGATATCAATTACAGTCCTTAGGGGTCGTTGTCCGTTAATATACTCGTGAATTCCAGGTAATCCATACACTTCTGAGATATCATCTACAATGGAAAACTTTTTATACTTACCTTGCTCCACCTGAATAACTAATTTATCTGCTAATGCCTCTTGTGTATATGCATCAAGTAGACTAATTCCTTCTTTTGCTCCGTAATTAGGTAAGAGATAATCCCATAGATGTATTTCCTCTAATGATCCTCTATTATTCGACATATCTCTGGTGGGTGAGGAAGCGATTTTGCAGACTCTATTTAGTAGATTCTTTTGAGTGAATTTATCATCGAACCTTTCTTGCCTTTTAGAATATGTGGAGCTCACTTGCTCCATGGAATATGCTGAATTAGAAATTTGTTTTCTATATTAGGGGGTTGGGATACTGGAGTCTCAATAGTATTGGTCTCGATATCTGACTCATAGTCGGAACCATAGTCACTGCAATTCTCTGATTCACATTCAGATATGTTATAGCTATAAGTATTTGAGTCACTTGAATAGTTTTCACTCTCTCCGTCCCCGTACCTGATCAATTGCATATCGCGTGCTGTCATTTTTTGTATTGGTATGTATCAATCTTTGTTCAATTATATTATTACAAAATAGTTTGGAAAAGTTTAAATTAATTTTTTCAGTGGGTAGTAGATGACATCAAAAAAAAATCTATCGAGTTTTAGTGAAATAAACTTGAAGAATTGCGTGATCAATGATCAAGTAATTCTATGGATCGGGTGGAGTAATCTGCAGAATATATTATATATAAAATGGTAGAATACTTCACTTTTTGATGACATGTTTTCAGATATAATATATGTGTAGTGAGGTGAAGTAATCTTCAGAATTATTATATAATAAAAATGGAAGAACACTTCACTTTTCGATGACATGTTTTCAGGGTGTATAAGTTCAGAAATATTATATAAGGAAAAATGAAGTTATATACTCATTTGATGACATGTTTTCAGGTAGGTCCAAGTGAAGTAATCTTCAGTAATATTATATAATAAAAATGGAAGAACATCTCACTTTTTATGGCATGTATCTAGTATGTTTTCGGGTATAGTAAAGGTGAAGTAATCTTCAGTAATATTATATAATAAAAATGGAAGAACACCTCACTTTTTTATGGCATGTATCTAGTATGTTTTCGGATATAGTAAAGGTGAAGTAATCTTCAGTAATATATTATAAGAATTATGGAAGAAGCCTTCACTTTTTTATGACATGTATCCAGTATGTGTTCGGGTAGGTAACTTCAGTAATATATTATAAGAATTATGGGAGATGCCTACCCATTTCTATGGTATGTTCTCGGAACATAATTCTGGCATCAAAATTTTAGCAACCAAAATCAGTATACTTTATTATAACGTGTCTCAAACATAGGCGAAATCATTTTGATAACATTTCTGATAACATTATGAGATATATATCAGAACCAAGACAGATTTCCTAGGGCCAAAATAAATTGATAGCATGACCCGATAACATGTATATAGCATGGCCAGGTAGCAATTGCACGATTAATTTTTCCATTGAATATTCTATGCAATATACAAAATGAGAAATAGTGCAAAATTTAACAGAAATATTGACAATTGCCAAGAATGTAATAAACCGCTTGATGTTAAGAATGGAGGGAGTTATTGTATAAAGCATAGGTGTGATAAATATGGATACTGTAGGAATCACTGCTTAATCAAAGATGGATATAACCATTGTATGCATTGCAGTATATATAAACGTATTATCTTTGATGGACTAAATGCAAAATGACAACACGCGACTGAATGCATCGTCGATATATTTTTTTTGTCACCCAGCTCACGTGTGACCAACATTATGAAATCAACCACGTTAACTACGGCACTATATGCCAGGTTTGGGCATAGCCCTCACATCAGATCCTGCCATGTGGTCAAATGTATGAAATACGCCACCTTGGTGTGTATCATAAAAAGCAAATATACGTTATTTGAGCGTGGCCTAAAATGCAAAACACATATCGCACTAACGCATGCCTTAGTGGTTCTCAAATGGTGATACAACTATAATCTATATGATCCCCTAATGAGTCGACTATAAATACCTCAGGTGTGTTGCATAAAAAGCAAAATACGACACCTTCGAGCGTGGCCTAAAAATTGAATCACGACACACACCTGAGTATATTATAGTATAATCTAAGTAGTTTATAGTTTCCTGGAAACTATAAACTACTCTTTACCTTTATCAATTTTTGAGTGTGATTGATTAGTGATAACTTGTTCTGATTATACGCAATCATTACAATAAGTTGAGTCACAAGAGATAAAATATTTTTTATATAGTTTAACATTAATAAATTCGAGTTTGGCTAATTGTAATTATCATTTTGAGTGATTTGTTGATAAATAAAATAGAAGATTTTAGTTGTTGAAACTTCTTCTGAATTATTGTATTTGATATATTAAAGTTTATTTATTATGTCTTTCTCTTAGATGTATTGGGATAGTATTGCTTTTTCAATTTTATTGCAAGCTGAATAAACATCAAAAAGGAGATATCTTTTTCAGAGCTTCCTAATAATTCTAGTATTTTTATGTTAGCCTTCATGACTAAACCAAAAGATATATTGGTATTCATAAGTGCAAAAGTATCATTTTTTGTAACTACTAGTAATATACATATTTTTGACTTTATCATGATCTCCATAATAAGAGCAAGCAGATAGATTCAAATATTTTTCAGTAATATATTCATCACATGCTACAAATTTTCTACTATTCATTTGAAAGTATGCTCTAATATAGTATTTATCAATATATTTTTCATACTCCAAATATTGTTCAATTTGTAATATCTGGATAAATTCAGTATAAGATATCTTCATAAGTATCAAATTTTTTTTACTCGATAATTAATGAAAAGTTTGTGTTCAACTTTAGCAATCCAATTATTACTAATTTTATATTCAACTCGATATAGTTTGTGAGTTTCAATAGTAATTTAATTAGCTAAATTATTATAATATTGATGATAATATTATTTTGAAGTATATAGTCAATTATGATACTAATATTTCTTGTCTGGTCTTTTTTAATCAAAAGATCATCAATTTTTCCATCTGCATAGTTATTAGAATTTTTCACTGAGTCGATTACAATTATTCAAAGTGAATTTTCTTTATTACATTTTGATTTCTTCTTGATATACATGTACTTGCACATTATTAATTAATTTGGTACTTTGAATAATTCTGATTGGCATATCCAGGTGATTAATATATTTGTTCTCTTTTAAGAGTCTCAACTAGAGTTCAAGTTTTTTCAAGTGTTGTATTTATATTTTCGTCAAACTATACTTAAGGTCTGTGTGGTTGAATTACTATTCAATTATTATAGTTGAGTATCAGAAAGTTTTGACTTTCTAGATGTTGTTCTTCGAATTCTTCTTTATTAGTTAAGAATTCATTATCTGATTTATCAGATAATTTGTTGAAGTTGTCATATTCTTGTCCATAGATGAATTTAATTTTGATATTTTCTTTTTGGTTATTCTAATCGAAAAACATAGTTTTATTATATAGATTTAATTTGTCTTTGATTTTATTTAACTAATTCATTCCAACTACTATATTATAAGTACAAGCTTCAGTAATATCAACATCAGTAGGAATTACAATTCCAGTAATAGTGATTGGGAAGTTATCAATCACATCAAGAGATTGTTTAGATTCACTATTTATATCTGATATAGTAATAATAGATTTTTATTAAATTTTGATACCATGTTTTTTTAGAAAATTATTATTAGCAACACAATCAGAGATCAGTATCATAATTAAATCGATGAATACAGTTCCAATCTTAACTTCACATCAGGCAGAGATAGTTCTAATTTTTTGTCCAATCATTTCAGTAACTTTTCTGGTAATCTTTCATTTTGGTCTGGAAGACCATCTCATAGTTTTAGATATTTTAAGATATTGTTCTAAAGAAGTTTGAATTAGTTATCTGATTGTAATGTTGGCTTTACTGATTGTCAAGTTATTTAGAATATCATATAGAACAGATTTGATAACAAAAACGGGTAGTACAGTTTTGTCTTTCTTTCTTTTTTAATCTTTTATTGGTGCAAAAATTCATACAATGAATATAGGTTGTTTAGCTTGAATTCTTAGTGACAAAATATTTGGTATTACTGGATTACTTGATTTAGTCATAACTATATTTTCTCTTTCAACAATGTCTAATTCATCTAGTTTGATTCTTTTTTAATCTCTAGCTAGATAATTATAAGTGACAAGTAGTGTTAAATTTGTAGGACCTGAAGTTTCAATTTGTTGAAGAAAATTAAGCATTTGTAAAGCAGCCAATAATAGTTAAATTTGTTATAAGAGATTGGCTTAGTTATCATTATTATTTATTGATACTGATTAATTAAAAGTAGTATTTGTTCTAATAAAATTATTACTATTATTATTAGATTGATTATTTTGGTTGCTTTAAAACTGTTGATTTCTATTGGAATTCTGATGATAAGTGTTTTGATTATATGATTTATCACAATTTCTAAATAGGTATCCAATTTTATTACAGTTATAACAAGTTAAAGAAGAGTAATTATTATTATAATAATAGTTTTGTTCATTATTTCTGGATGAATAAGTTGGTCTTTTAGGCATTTCAAGAGTTTTTAACCTATTGATCAGATTCTGGAGTATTATTATAAGTTAATTGAGATTAGTAATTAGTTTGATTTGTATTTGATAGTAGGTTGAAGCAGATTCTTTGGAATTTGCTTCTTTTATAGTTTAGTTATCCCTGTAAAAAAAAATAAAAGACAAAAATCAGGAAAAAATCTGGTTTTTTAGTTCCGAGAAATCACGAGTTTTGTTAACAAATTTCCAAATTAAAATCTGATAAAATCTGCTTAAAAATGAAAAAAACGGGGAAAATAAAAAATATATCCAGTAACTTTGGGATGCGATATCTCACAAACCACGAAACCAATCCGGACGAAAATATCACCATTCAATTCATCTAGTCTTGACGAATCGAATGGTGATATTTTTATCCAGATTGGTTCTGTGGTTCGCGAGATATTGCGTCCCAAAGTTACTGGATATTTTTTTATTTTCCCCATTTTTTTAAAAATGGATTAATATCTTATCACTCACTTAACCAAATTGGATAAAAATAAAG